AGCGTTCGGGGCGTTTTTGTCAGGCGGCCGAGGCGAGCGCCGCTGCCCTGTCCTGGCTGCAGAGCTGAGGGCAGGGTTGCTCTGCACCAGGAAGCTTCGGATACCGGGCTGGGAATAAGGGAGTGACAGGGAAAGGATAAAGTCGGTAAAGTGCAAAGAGCTGTGACTTGTCTTGAAGAGCTCTTTTTAAAGCGAAAAATACAATAGGGCAAAGTGAAATTTAAAGTAAATATCAACTTGTGATGTTCAACCTTATTCTTTGGTGTAGGCTCGAGTGATGGGTCATCTCCAGATGAAGGAGTTGTAGAAGATGTGTCTCTAATAGATGAGAAAGCGGTGGAGCAGCTCGCTGAAGGGTTAATTTCTCATTATTTGCCTGATTTGCAGCGATCAAAATCAGCTCTAAAGGAACTGACGTAAGCAAACTTCTAAAAGCATTTTCTTAACATGTGCGTGCTTCATTTGCCATGGTTTTTCTATATAATGTTCTAACTATTGTTACCTGGCATATAACTTAAACTAGTATTTTTATTTTATGTATGGATACTTAAGATTATAGGAATAGTAGTAAATGTATAAGCTACAGTGGAACTTTTCAGTGCTTTGACCAAAGAAAGTAAATCTAAAATCCCCCTCAGCAAGGTGTAGCAGATGATGTGTGAATTTCCAAACTTCATCTATAGTCTTAACTTAGTCTCAGAGATTCACTTAACACTCGGGGCAATGTATAGTGCAGTTTTTTTTGTCTGTTGTGCTGTCCTTAAGATGTGCTGCAAATCAGGTGTTTCTATCTATTTAACTCCTTAATTATATTTAAATTTTTTGTATGTGGACATCTCCTCAATAACTGAGAGAAGTTTACTTCAAATACATCTTAGATCTGACATGGAGATGAAGGTACCTGAAAAAGCTTTTACAGAGCCATCTTAGGGCTGCAGGTTGGGCTTGGTGTCATTTTGTTCCTAACAAGGACAGCACAGACACCAGAGAGTTTAGCTGATTTGTGAGATGCTTGGATCCTTGGGCTTATTAAGATTTTTGCAAGTTCTATTAAGAATTACCTTTGTTCTGTAGCATGGTGCAGGACAACTGAGTAGAAAGCCAGAGATAATTATTTTTCCTTTTATTAAATCACAAAGATATTCACTCCTTATTAAGGCTACTTGGTGCCTGTATTATTCAGGTTTTTGAGATATTTATCCCAGATATCTCATCCCGTATGAGTCCATATAACAAAGAGCTGAATTAATGTGTACTCAGCTGGAATTAAAAAAGAAAAAAAACCCACTAATATCTTTATGTCAATTTCAAGTAAGAGAAATCTGATTTCAGGAAGCACATATTTACAGCTGTATGACTGAAACTAAAATATATTTAAAGGGCTGGTGGGAAAATAAATCTCCCAGATACCTCTCCTAAGTTCTTGAGTGAGACTTTACAAGAGATTGCCAGTAAGGAAATAATTGACTTGTGTTAGAATGAGGTACCCTGAAAATTTTACATATGCAGCCTGTCTTTACATTCCTTTTTGTCTGTTCTGCTTTATTCTGGTTTTATGCATCTTGTCTTGTTTTAGACAGAACCAAGAGGTATTACTAGAAACAATAGAGCAAGAGATTTCAAAATTCAAAGAATGTAATTCCATTCCTGAAATCAATGCCTTGGTAAGTACCATTGATGCTTTACAAACTGTGTGCTAGTACAGGTTTTCCTGATGAAATACCAACAGCAATGCTTGTACCACTGGTATATTCGTTTATTCTTAACAAGCTACAGGACAATTATCCTCTGGTTGAGATATTTAGAACAAATTGTTGCTGAACTGTTATCTCCATTTTCTGTTCCACTCCCACTGCACCCTGGCAGGGTGAGGAAGTGCTATATTCTCATTAAATAGAGAGGGTACCAGGAATTAAGAACAGGCTTGGTCTGCCACTAGTAGTGTGTGCAGTTCTTCAAAAGCAGTAGCCAGAACAAATATATACATTTTTTTTTCAGTAAGACTGCAATGCCTTCCTGGACTCACAGGAAGGGTTAATAAAATAAGGGTGCATGCTCATATTTTTATTCTGTTTTAATGCATGTTAATTCTGCAGCAGGTACTCTGTATGCAAGTACTTTACATACCTGATCCAGTGTGGCAATTTGCTGTAAGCTTTTTATATTAAGCTTTAACGTGTTTAATGCATTATCAAAAGGTTCTGGTGATGCTGTGTTCTTAATTGCTGTTTTGATGTATAGTTTTATAAAGCAGCTATTGCAACTTGCCAATCACTGCTATGTTTTCAAAGTTTTCAGAAGCTAAGCACTATCATAACAAGCTAGTGAACATTAGAAATGAAATGATGATGCTCCATGAGAAGTCCTCAAAGTTAAAAGTGAGTGGGATATTTTTTTCCTGTCTTTTTAATCTTTATTTTGAATGCACATTGAAATTCCCAAATGAAAGTTGAATCTTCATTAAATCTCCCTCTTAAATATTTTTTCCACTTGTTTTCAGTAGCACTAAACCATGTTTATTTGTAAACTTTGCTTACTTTTTGTTATGTTTAAACAATTTATGCATCTGTACTCTTGATGGTAATCAGTATCATCATCATGTTTCTCTTTTTGAATACTAGAGCTATTCCTTGTTCTGCCTTGCCATCCAATCCAACTATTTCTCATAGTTGTTTTAGTTCATGTGTGGTTGTTTTGACTTTTGTCTGTTTTTTCTTGGGGGGGGGAGGAGGGGGAGGTTGTTTTGTTTTTGTTTTTTTGGGTGGTGGCGGGAGAGTAGAATGTTGTTTTCAAACTATGTTGTCGTAAGCATAAGAATATTTCCTCTTTAATGCTGGCAAAATTCACAGATTTGTTGTGTTTCTGGTTACATTCTGACAAGATTAGTCCTTCATCTCAGCCAACAGAAGTAGTTGGAGAAAATACACTGCATAGTATTCACCTGGCTGGTATACAGAGAGGATGAGTTTCAGGGGAATCCAGTTACATTTTCCCTATGTAGATCACAGTGGTGTTCTTTATGAAAGAAGTGGGAGGAAGAAAAATGAGTGTTTTGTGCAGCATTGTAGTCATAACCATGGTGGGTCTCAGGAAGAGTGTGTGATAAGAACAGGAGGAATCCTGTTTGTAGCTCCAACTTCTAATTTTTCTTGTCTTTTCTCTTTAGAAAAGAGCACTTAAGCTGCAACAAAAGAGGCAGAAAGAAGAACTGGAACGAGAACAGCAACGTGAGAGGGAACTTGAAAGAGAAAAGCAGTTAACAGCAAAACCTGCTAGGAGGACATGAAAACAGAGCATGCATCAGCTTGTCCAAATTGTTAATTTTTGCATTCTCTGGAATTAAGGCAGGCTTTGCATAAAGTGGGCTGTAGATGTTACTGGCAACAGTCTACTGAATGGTATTGTGAATTACAGAATGGTAATAACCAGTTGGTAAATTTTTAATTTTCCATTTCAGCCATTCAAGTTGCCTTATTTTATAATACTATGCAGTTTGATATTATTACAGTGTAAGTTAATTTTTGATATATACTTAGGAGAATTTAGACATTACAGTTTCAATTACCTCCCTCACCCCCTCCTTTTTTTTTTTTTTTTTTTATTTTTCTTGTGCTATTAAGAATTCTGGCTGAGGGATATTTGCTGACTGGCACACACATTTTACAGAAAAAAATACAGAATAGTGGTTGCTGGAGTTCCATTCTGTTCTCTGGATTTTCACGATTGCCTGCTTCACTAAAGCAGCTTTGATTCTGGCAGTTGTGCTCTCTTGCTGATTCTGTGGGTCATAAATACTGGCTTTTTGTGTCAGCTGTGTATACTTAACCTTTTGCCCAACATTGTTAATAAGTGAATGCTGCAAAGCTCTATGACATCAAGAACAATGGTGAAGGGTCCAGATAACATTGTTACGTTCTGATCTCGTTTTAGGTTTTTTTTTCACTCATGTGCTGTTAGTTCAGCCAGTTGTCTAATGAGCTGGAGAGTGTGTGAGCTGCGGTGTGCGAGTTGCCATGTAGTTCCTTGAAAGCTCACTTCATTGCAATCGTCTCATATTGCCATCAAAAAAATAAGCGTAGCTTAAACGTAGGTTTTGAATTGTTTACCATCTGAATTGGATTAAGGTGAAAAAACAAAACATTGAAGATTCTCAGAGTTTATCTATGCACAAAGCAAGGACTAATAAATTTAGGCTTCCACAAATGATTGAGTTGAACCCATGAACTGTTGCTTCTGTGATGGTTCCACAGGGAGCATGTGGTCTAGGCAGATCTCTATATGCATTTTCCTCATTATGCCCATATATGACAATTTTGTACATATATGGCACTTCCCAGTTAATGCCCACATGGTATTTTGTTATGGATTTTCCTGTTATGCTCCATGAATGGCACTCCATCATGCCTATAGATGGTGATTTTGTCTATATATGACAATTTTGGCATGATGCCTATGTATTTCCCCCATATATGGGAAATATGTCCATATATGTTTCCTAATTATGCCCCTATGTCTTGCCTATGCATGCCTTTTTCCACACATGGTATTTCTTTGATTCCATGCATGTTATTGTCCATATAAGGGGAATTTGTCCATATGAAATTTTCCCAATATGCCAATTAAAGGCAGTTTTTTGCCATATTGTCTAGACTGTTGAAAGAGCTTTAATTTTTTTTCCTGCATTGTGACCAACTAATAAGTTTTGGATAATTTTCATAGTTTATGCCTGCCTAGATCTTTGTGTCAACTTTCTAAAATCTTAATTTTTTGTTCTTAATTTCACTTCTGTGAGGGGGAACTCATGTAGTAATGGTATTTATAGAAACTTCTGTCCAGCATCCCAAGTAAACTGGAATAGTGGGACAGGGAAGGCAAACTAGTTAGAGTAGTCTGAAAAGGCTCAGAACTACTGTTACCGAAGCAGTGATTAAAATTTTGCACAGATGTTTTTCTCTTATGTTGACTTGTGTCTCTTAATCACTGGCAGATTGTTGACTTGTGCTGTGGTTTGTATGTATTTCTAAAAGAAATGTACAGAATTCCTACAGTCCATTTTGGGAGCAGAATGTACATAACTATTGTTTGAATATTTGTAATATAATTACAAAATCAGAATCTGGGAATGTAAACAATTGTTATTAAAATCTAAAATGAAACTAGATGCCTCAGTGAAATACCCAAACCAGAATTAATTTCCTTTAGTATTTCTTGTTTTGTGTTGCCTTATCTAGAATGCAACCTAGTGTTACAAGCTGTAATCTGTTTCTGTTAAGAACTGTTTTTTAAAAGTCCTGGTCTCAAAGTACAAAGTTGTAAGCATTGAAATCAGTACTTAGGCAATTGCCTATTTTGGCACTGCTTTGGAGTAATCTCTGAACTAAGGAGACAATCTTGTAGCACTTGTTTGAGGAATCATGTACACCTATGTAAAAATGTACTTGGTAACCTTTTAATTAAAAATGTAGTAAATTATTTTTGCATAAAAAATAAACTAATGTTAATAAAGAACCCTCCTATAATGATGAGAAGGACTGAAGATATATTAGAGAAGATATGACCAGTTTATATAAAGTTTATTATTCATTAAATGAACTCTAATTACTTTAGTCTAAATTCTAATTCATTATCTACACAGGCTTTTAGTCTCAAGAGAAAATACCAGTGATGATGAAGGAATTGCTGCATTTCTTGTTTTCTACACCACCCAGTGGGTGGTACTAAATTTATTTGAGGTAGTGCTTGCTCGAAGGTAAGTGCTTTGTGCTGAGCAATGATCCCAGTGTTGGAGAGTTCACAGTCTACATCTAGATGGACATGGATGCAAATGATAGGATTTAGGCAAGCGGTGTAGAGTAGAGTTCTCACTGAAGACAGTAGCTGCTAAGAGAAGCTTCCTATGGCTGCACATATTTGTTGAAATGTTCCTGGCTGGGCAGGTGCAGGTCTGTGCTGGGAAAGTGGGACCAACAAGCAAGAGGAAGCTCCCTGCATTCAGAGACACAATTCCTTGATGCCTCAGGTGACTGCTTGCTTGGGAAAAACTTCCACCACCTGCCTTAGATTTTTACCAACTTGTCCTGTTGAGGGGCAGGCAGGGAGTGCTTCTCCTTGTTCCTGGGGACCTCTTGACCCAGGTTTGCTCCTCTTCCCCAGCCCTCACCCAGCAGCCTCTACCTCCCTGCTGGCCTGGGCTTTGCCTGTACATAGGCTACCTCAGGGAGTAGTTACTTCATGTTCAGTTTAGGCATTTTGTTTCTAGATTAACATATTAAACTATTTATTAAAAATGTAGGACTCTTGAAATGTCTGTGGGGACCATAGGATGAGAGCATAGAGAAGATTAAATATTCTAAGTCTTAATCTTTAAAAATATGCACGTCAAAAAATAAATTATCTTTTCATAGATGGAGATGAGAATCAGCCTGTTGAAACAAGACTGGAGAGACCAAAAAAAAAATGTGCTTTGTGTACCCCAGGACAGCTGAGAGAAGAAATTAAGAAAGATCTTAGAAATGACAGAAGGAGTGAGTTTGCACATTTGAATGATGTGAGTGTAACCTGGGTGGGCTTTTTTGTTTTGTTTTTTGTTTTTTTAAGACAAGTTGTTTGTTATAAAGTATTAGTAAAGACATGGTTGAATAATGTTTAATCCACAGATCACTTCTCAGAAGATGCTGGTTGTCTCTTCTGCCAGTACTTTGTGCCTGCTGTAGACTTCCATGAAGGTGCAGGTGCTCAGCAGCTTTCAGAAATGAGCCTGAGTATCTTGTGCCTCAGTATATGACTACACTGTCATCAAAGAGGATTTGTATGTTTAATCATTGTTCTAGTAAGTGTTTATTTTTTTATTCCATGTGAATAGTTTTGCTATTTTCCTGTCTATGGAAAAGGACCACTAAGCTAAGGCTTAGGGCTGCTACCTACAGGAAATCTGTTGAAGGTCAGATACTGAAGCATCTGTAGTCACTAGATTATTACAGTGGTTGCAATTTTAGTCTAGATCAGCCTGCAGTGAATGAGCTGTGTTGAGCAGGTACAGGCAAGGCTGGTAGGCTGGTGCCAGCAGAACCTACATTTAGACTAGGGTTTGGTCTGAGTACAGATTTAGATGTGGAATTAAGGAGTTTCAAAGCTTATAGAGGGGCAGGTGCATTAAGGATTCATTTTCAGATGCATGTTTATGTGGGAGAAGGAGAAGTACACAACAAATTTAGGGAGGGATACTTCTGTGGCAATGCTCTTGTGTAGAATGAGGTTCTGCAGATTTTCCTTGAAACTAGTATTGGATATACTCTTACACAAGCAACAGAGAAAAATAGTTTGTTTTGGTGGCTTTTTACTTGAGGCTTTTTTATTTTTATTGCATATAAACATTTTAGTCTGTGGTAGATGGTTTCATGTAGCTATATGAAGAATTACAGAAATCTCATATATGCCTTACTAAATACAGAGAAGTTCCCCTGTCAGTGTAACATGTATCCTGTCATGATTCCTAGCATCTCTCTGACTAAACCTGGTCCCTGGCTTCATTTGTTGTGGTCCTGTGAGAACAGCCTCTGGCTGGGTGTAGAGTGTGGGTTTACACAGCTGAGTTACTTTAATCCAGGTGCTGATACGGTGGCCTCCCCTCCAGAGACCTCTGTACCAGGGGACATCTGTGCAAAGGGAGGTAAACTCTCAGGCTTGGCTTTCTGGTTATTGACCTGTAGTCATTTAGTTGAGACATGCAACTGAAGCTGCTTTTCTACAAAGAGCAGCTTTGGGTAACAAAAACACAAGGCAAGAGCAGGCTAAGCATATCCCCCAGGTGGGCCAGGAGCAGCTGGTGTCCTCACGCTGAAGCAGTGTTCATGGTCAGACAGCTGAGCTGAGACACAGAAATGGCTCTTTGTCTGGAGCGTAGGATGTGATCACAGTGCAGGTAGCCTGTGTGTTCAGCATGTGTATTGCTTTTCAAATTGGCACCCTGCAGTGTGCCTTGTTCCCTTCTGCTGCTTCTCAACAGCATGTCTGGAGCATGGAAGAGCCTTGTGATACCTTCCCATTTAAGCCTTCAAAGCTGCTTTCCCTATTCCATGCAGCTTTCCACAGCTGCCTGTTTCTCTAAACAGTTTAGCAGTTTTGCAGGAACCCTGTGCCAAGAGAAGGTTAAGCCTGAGAAAGAAACGATCTGGCCCAGGATTTGGATTTATGGGCCCTGGATGCATGTGCCGAGTTGGCCTGAGTAATTTTGTCTTTACACTTTATTTTCAGCAGTCATCTTCCCGTGCCTCTTTTTTGCCCTGACAAACATGACTCAGTGAATTAACAACTGTTACTGCTTCGTGGTCACTGGAGCTATAAATCAAAAGCCCTGTAAAATGCTAGAGAAAAACATTTTAAGGCTTGGCTCAGCAAAGGCTCCTGTAACTGGGCAGGACAGAGCATGGAGGCAGCCTGCGCTCTGCTGCTGCCTCAGGACTTTGCAGACTCAGGTGAGTTGTAGTCGATCCGCACTTCTGTGTGGGACTTGCATATCTTTGCTGACTTCTGTTTTGCTTAGGCTTGAGGTATTTTTGATTATAAGTACCGCCATGAGTTTCCAGGCTTGAGCTTGCTTTGAAACATCAAGCTGGAAGGGCGAATGGTTTGAAGATGAGCGCTTAGGCAAAGACAACACCACGAGCCGCGTCGCCGCAACGTGCGGAGCGTTTCTGTGGG